CTTGTTTTGTCTTTGACACAGAAGATTTATATTGTTGTGAATGGTAAAAAATACTCCTTTGAAGATACTTACTCAGATATACCACCAACAGTTTTGTTGACTTATTTTCCTAGAAACTCATAGTTTACCTTTCGTATGAACTTCTTTTTTCTACTAGTCAGTTGCTTTGACTTCAATTTCGTCGAATTCAGGAATAGTTTAGTTTTTGTTGTTGGATTTCAGCAATTGGGCAAATGGTCGATGAGGTCCTCCATTTCATAAAGATACTGTTCATTTGTTTCATCTTTCGCACTACAGTCTAAATTACATGTTAAAAGTTCTTGCTTTATCTTCTGGATTTCTGTTTCAAAAGTATATGAAGAAGGAATGAAGCTTTTCATCTCTACTAACATTGACGTAGGATTCATGACTAACGAGTTTGGTGCTGTTGTTTGAAGTGTTGTTGCTTCGACTGACATTTCTGTTCTTACATACAAAATAAAAAAAAATAAAAAAATAAAACTAACTTTATTTTTTATTTCGGGAAAATTCATGAAAATTCAAGAGGGTAGAAAACAGGTTAGAAAACAGGTTAGATCTAACCTTCTACCCTAAATTATATTTTTGGGTCCTTTACACTCATTACGAAGAAGTCTTGACAAAACATTTACGAAGAAGTCATGAAAATTCAAGAGGTTAGAAAACAGGTGAGAAAACAGGTGAGATCTAACATGCTAACATAAACTTTATTTTTGGTGTAAATTTCATGATTTTCGAGAGTTTTAGACCATGTTAGAAAACGTGTTAGAAAACGTGTTAGATCTAACATTCTAACATAAACTTTATTTTTGGTGTAAATTTTCATGATTTTCGAGAGTTTTAGACCATGTTAGAAAACGTGTTAGAAAACAGGTGAGATCTAACATGCTAACATAAACTTTATTTTTGGTGAATTCAATAAAAATAAATGGTTCATTTACTCACAATATTTTTTGTACAAAACAACCCCAAAACTTTTAACTTCTTTTCTGCAGCTTCAAATGCTATCTTAGCGAGTTCATATTCTCTAAATTCTCTCTTTAAATCTTCTTGTTCCATTGGTCTAGTTCGTATGGAGAATTTCTATAACCATAACATATCTCACGTTCATGTTCTAATTGTTTTTCGCACATTTTTCCAACTTCTTCTTCAAACAAAGGTTAGCATTCTCTACTGTATCTTCGAGTTCTTCTTCATCTAACTTCTCATGAACTTTCTTGTCTATGGAGTCCATAATTTTCCAAACTGCTATGCAATATTTTGGAGAAGCCCACATTGCTATATAGTTTATAAGTCTTGGGTCTACATACGTTCCTCTAACCTGTTTGATTTCATCAGGAATTCCGGCATGAATTTTGTATAAAAAGCAACCGTCTGAATTCCGGCGGTTGCTATATTCTTCACAAAATGCCTTATAATACTCTTCCCAGGACTTATTTTCCAAACAACTTTCTAAAGTCTTTCCTAAACTGCTGACACATATTTGTTGCATTAATGTAACCATCCTTGTCTCTACGTAAGACTTCAATACCATTATAAGTGCCTTTTGTGAATGTTTCGCCATTAGATTTGTTAGTGAATGTTTTTGCTTCGATTGACATTTCTGTTCTTACCTACAAGATAAAAAGTTAGGAAAAAAAAATAAAACTAACGTTATTTTTTCTGTCTTAAGGAAATTCATGAAAATTCAAGAGGGTGAAAAAAGAGGTGACAAAACATTTACGATGAAGTCTTGACAAAACATTTACGAAGAAGTCTTGACAAAACATTTACGAAGAAGTCTTGACAAATTCAAGAGGGTAGAAAACAGGTTAGAAAACAGGTTAGATCTAACCTTCTACCCTAAATTATATTTTTGGGTCCTTTACACTCATTACGAAGAAGTCTTGACAAAACATGTACGATGAAATCATGAAAATTCAAGAGGTTAGAAATGAGGTTAGAAATGAGGTTAGATCTAACCTTCTACCCTAAACATTATTTTTGCTGAATTCAGCAACAAAATGAACGAGGTCAGGATGTATGCAAATACCTTTGAATTCATTCATAACACCTTTGTAAGCTCATAAAATGCTTTGTTTTGAGGTCGAGCCACTTTTGGCTCCACCGTATTCTTTCAACCAAAACTCAAGAATTTCCCGCATGAATTTTGTATAAAAAGCAACCGTCTGAATTCCGGTGGTTGCTATATTCTTCACAAAACATTTACGTTTAGTTTACGAAGAAGTCATGACAAAGTTATGAGGGTGAGAAAACGTGTTAGAAAACGTGTTAGATCTAACATGTTAACATAAATTATATTTTTGGTCCGGGAACAACTTTCTCTCAATTGGAGCTGTAGCATACTCTTTGCGTAAGCGGTTCAGACCTTCTTCGAACTCTTGGTCTCTCTTCGATTTGGACTGAGATTGGAATTGCTGGGGTGGAGCTTGCTGGAACATCCAAGGGTTGGGGCAGTAAGGCATAGGCAGAGGAGGGTAGTTCGGGAAGCCTTGTGGTGGGTAGTAACCTTGAAGTGGAAATTGGTAGAAATTCGGAGGTACTTGCTGGAACTGAGGTTGCTGAGGAGACTGTTGTGGTTCTTTAGGTTCCTCTGGTTTGGGAATGGACTCGGTTGGTGGGACGTCAGTCATCTGTTTGTGTCCTGTCGGAAGGAAAAACTTTTTCTGTCGGAAGGAAAAACTTTTTCTGTCGGAAGGAAAAACTTTTTCTGTCGGAAGGAAAAACTTTTTCTGTTGGAAGGAAGAACTTTTTCTGAAGTTCGACCAAAAAGTTCTCAATTTTCGAAAATTTGAATGGTTTACGGACGGACAACTGGAAGAGTTCTTCCTGTCGTCGGGAAAAATTTTTCCAGTTGTCGGGAAAAATTTTTCCAGTTGTCGGGAAAATTTTTTCCAGTTGTCGGGAAAATATTTTCCTGTCGGATGGAAGGACTCGGAATGCCAGAAGGATTTGACGAGGCAATTTACCTAATTTAAATTAACGACTGCGTAAAAGACTACTTGCGCAAGGTCATGAAGCCCAAGGTCAAGTTCACCACTATTTCTGGAAGGGCTGCCTTGAATCTCGAGACTTCGACCGGAATTCCAATTCAAATACCAGAAAACACTCCTTTCGACGACATAAAGGACGCCAAAAGAGAAGCTCTTGTTAAGTTCCTAACAAACGTCCTTGGATAAAAATACCAAACAAGGAGAACCCCCTACCCCATATGAAATTGGCAATTCAGTCTCTCCTTCGCTTCTCGGGTCAACCATTCTACATAACCTGTGAAGGCGACATCCAACCAGTTCAGTAAACCTTAACGTTTAACTTCACTTTTTATGTTTTTTGTGAAAGTTTTTAAAATAAATTGTTTTTTCGAGAGTTTTAGACCATGTTAGAAAATGAGGTTAGAAAACGTGTTAGATCTAACATGCTACCCTAAAAGTATTTTTCAAATACTTTTTTCAGCACTTTCCGTAGTTATATATGAAAGACAATTCGAGATAAAAGTCATAGTACAATGGAATAATATGTTGCACACCACCATTTGTTGTGAACCAAACTTGAAAAGTCAGAGAAACTGTTACTAGGTGGTTCGTAGAATTTAGAAGCAAAGTCATAAAAGTCCTTACCAATACATGAAAACTATTGTTGCTTGAACTGAAACTTGCATGACACATAACATTTTGAGGGTCAAACACGTTTCTATAAACTGTCAAATCTGCTGGTGGAAGTATAAATTTAAATGGACCATCTGGTGGTAATGGTTCGTTCTGGTTTAGTAACCGAAGAAATTGTGCCCAAGAACGTTTGTCTACTTTCCAAAATAAAAACTCTGTATCTCTTGGAGGGTTAATTTCAATCTTTTGAAATGAAACGGTGGAGTTCATCTTGTCATATTCTAGTTTCAGATAGTATGTTCCATTTAGTAAAGAGTCGTATTTTTCTTGAAATTCCCAATAATATTTGTTCATTTGAGTTTGAAAGTCATTTAGAGTTTTCTCAAGACTTTCGTCTGAACGAACTGTAAAGATTCTCATTTCGTCAAATTTGTCTATTAGACCATCAGAACCTTTATACTGCCCATGAAAATATACTGCGAACATAAATGCGTTAGTTCTATTTGAAAACAAAACTCTTCTAAATCCTATTGCCTTTGCATCTGAAGGACTTTGAAGCCAACGAATTGGATAGTCAAACCTGTATGCTCGGGATGAAATTTCTTCATCTGAAATAGTCCTACCAGCATTTGTATAGATATAGTCTAACGGTTTTGTATCTACTACTTTTGTTCTTTGTTTTTCAACCTGAAGCATTTAATATATGTAAAAATATATTGTTTTAAAATGGTATGCCATTTCATATTTCTCATCTAACAAACAAGTTTCCCAACGGTCTTCTCCAACAAACTCAGCGTACATTTCAAATAAAAATAAAAAAAATTTTTTTTCTTTACTTTACATAACCGCCTGCTGCCATAAGTCTTTGACGCCAACCCATACCAGCTAATGAAGGTTGACTTGGTTTAGTTTGGAAACTAAACTTTGGTTTTTGGTTTATCTTCAGTTTTTGGTTTTTCTTCTTCTATCGGTTTTTCGTCACTTTTCGGTTCCTCTGACTTTACTTCACTTGCAGGAACAGTTGTGTCGTCAACATCTTCATAAATATCATATGCCATTTGTTTTTGTTTTTCCTTTCAACTTTTTGTGTTTGTTGTAAAGTTTAGAATATTTCGACTCTAAGTCAATGAGATGTTCTATAATGAACTGTTGGTCAGTGAAGTAAACTTTTCCATCTGTTGTCTCGAAAGCTCCTTCAGACTTCAAATATTTTATTTGTGAGAGTCTGTTTCTTTTTTTGAGATACTTGCCGTTCCATTTTATGAAAAGTGACTTTGTAGTTAGGGTTTGTATTTCCAGACCTGGCACTTTCTATTATTGAATTTTTCTCTTCATCTGTAAGTTCTTCGACAGGTTTTGACAATGGTTCTGAACTTTTTTTTGTGGTGTCAAATCTACCGTTTCAACTTCTTCGGTCATTTCATCTCAGTAAAAAATTTTAGTTTGGTTTGTTTTCAACTGGTTGTTTAGGTTTTTTAAGTCGGTCTAAAACTTCCTGAGGTATAGGAAGAACTTGACAAACACGTTGTGTAACTGCTGGAAGCCGACAAATCCATCTTGAACCCATTTGTCTCAATGCTGTATTGTTCATTTCATCTCAGTAAAAAACTTTACATTCCCCACGTTTGAGGCGGTTGAGGTTGGTTATTGTTTACCCATTGTTGTGCATGGTTATATCCTCTGTTAAAGAATCTTTCACCTTGGTCCATATAGTGTCCTGCTTGGTTATAGTAGTCATTTGCTTTGTTATAATAGTTTCCTGCTTGTCTTCCTACATTGTCCATCCATCCTTGAACTTTTCCTCTTGTTTCAGGATTTGGAATAAGATTTGTTGCATCTCGTGCTACATCCCAACCTTTCTGTACAGTTTGTATAATAGGTTGTGCTTTCTCTTTAAGTATACCTAATGTACTCAAAATCTTCCTTCCAACTCCAAATACACCTCTGGCTATTGTTCCCACTGCGGGTAAAAATCTGGATGCAACTCCTGCTAACGCGCCAAATAAACCCATTTCTTATGGGTTAAAAAATGACGAATCCAAACAAGGACCCCTATGTTTCTAAAGCGACAAAGAAAGCACTCATGATAAAAATCTTTAGTTCAACACCAAATGCTTGGTTTATGGATATCTTGGAAAACATTCCGAGAGTTAGAACAGATGGACCTCCATACTGGTTAATATTTGTTGGTCAAAACACAAGATACTGTGAAGCCATACCATTATGGTCCAAAAATATTTTAGATGTGAAAACTGCTTTGACAATATTCGTTGACAAATACCATCCAACAAAACTGACATCTGACTGTGAAAGTTCTTTCAAATCAGATGATGTAAAAAACTATCTGCGTTCAAAAAATGTAAACCAATATTTCATTGTCGACCAAAACCATTCTGCTCTTGGTGTCATTGACGGTTGTATAAAAATGTTAAGAGACTTAAACCAACCACAAGGTGGTGAAGCAAATGAAATGTCATATGACGACAAATATAGACACTTCTCCATGGCAAAGATGAGACAAGTTTTAAATATTTACAATAGCCGTAAACAAAAAGGTTTGGGAAACCACTCCCCGAAGAAATGAAAAACAACCCTGACTTAGAGAAAGACTATATATTTAATAATTTAGTCAAAAGAGACAAACAAGAAAGAATGCCGGGCTTCAAACTTCAGAAAGGTGACAAAGTAAAAATAGAAATACCTAAACGCGACCCATATGAAAATACTATTGACTATGACAACAATGGGAACCCGACAGGTACTCACATTCGTGTTCGTAAAAATAGAAGAAAGTATACAAGAGAATATTATGAAGTTTTAGGCAAACATGGCAAAATGTACACACTGCAAGCAGAAGATAAAACTACTATTGTCAGACCTCGTTTCAAACTTGTCAAAGTTCAAGGTGGTATACTTTCAAAAGACAGTTCCTAACAAATATAAGACAACTCCTGACGAATATGCTAAAGAAGTTGAAAATGACGACTAAGCAATTCTATACCATGCGTAAACTGTCATGTAAGGTGGCATGTAGTCTTTACTTTGTCCCGTTGTTTGCGTATATCCCGAAACGCGATGTGTATGGTTTCCTCCCCTCAGTGTTACTCCAGTAACAATTTATAGCAAACTTAACGTTGTCTTTAACATCATATCCTTTACCTTTTGTCATTGCTGACCAATCCCAATATCTATGCTTATGCCAACCTGCTTGAGATGTACTTAAATCTATGTAGTGACTGTGTGCAGGTAAATTTTCACCTGAAATCGTTTTACTTCCACCTGTTTCCTTTGAAGAGTTTGCACAATACAAAAACCTGTCGACTATTTGAGTCCAAGTTCCAAAACCTAAAACTGTTGCTGGATTTGTTGAATTCATTGACGTATAAATAGAGCCTGCAGGATATAATGTTTGAAGTATTTCAGTCTTTAATGTTTGAAGCTCTGTTTTGTCAGCCTTCTTATCTAACATTGCTGGTAGTTCATATGCTTCAAAGTTTCTGGCATGACTTTCAATGTTCCTGCAACTGTTATCTAAATTGTTTAGTGTATCTTTTACGCTTGTACTTGGATTCTCTAAAGGTGCACTTGAACCAAGGTCAAAGTTCAATATTATGTCGTCTGCTGTAAAAGTTGTAAAACTTGTATGTGTATGAGTCTTATTTGCTTTCTTCTCTAACTCATCGTTAACATAAGTTTTATCTGCTTTAAGGTCTAAACATCCTGAAACCCATCCTGTATCGGCTTTACTTTTTAAAATCTTCGATGTCCATTCATGATACCATTCAGCCCTTTCTATAATTTCATTATCTTTTTCATCCACATATTCCTTATCTGCTTTCTTCTCTAACTTACTAGCCACATATTCCTTATCCGCTTTCTTTTCAAGGCTAACGTTTAAGTCTGTTATTTCAGATATAGAATGTATATGAGTCTTTTTAGAATATTCGTTTTCAGCTCTTGTCACTTCACTTGACATTTTATTGTCAACATATGTTTTGTCTGCTAGTTCAGGATGAGTATGTTCTTTTGTTGCATAAGCATTGTTAGCTCTTTCTTCTTCTTTTGCTATTGCATCGTCTACATATTCTTTGTCAGCTTTGTTGTCAACATCTGCTTTCAAAAGAAGTTCATTTATAGGTTTCTCGTTTAAAGTTCCTTTTGTTGGATTTATACAGACAGTATGGTTCTTATTGTCTTGAAATAGAAACTCATCTGTCATTGGGTTTAATGTCAGTTTTAAGTTTCCTTCTTTCAATGACTCAGATATCTTAGAATAGTTTGAAAAGTTTGTTGTGTTCTTATTTAGAGCTTGCATAATGAGTTGTCGGTTGTGTTGTATTTCTCTCATGGAAGCAATATCTTTCGACATTTTTATTCTAGATAAAATATGCTTCCAATAGAAAAAGAAAATTCTAGAGTTGCTACAACTAAACCATTAGATGAACTTTTTACTAATGTCGGTCAAAAGTTTGAGACAGAGACCGTAAAGCATGAAGGCTATCGTTTTGACTACCCGTTAAGATGGTTAAGAGACCCATCCGTCACAAAAGCTATTGGCTTTCGTAGAATGAAGTTCATTTCAGAAGCCATACATGGTTTCCCATTTACGGTCGGTTTGAAGTTCGATACTATAACAAAGAAAAACGTATGTATGAGAAATTTGAACAGGGAAAACTTTTACAAGTGAATTTGCTTGTAAACTTAGAAACAACTCTTCAAGCTTTTCAAGAAAAAATAAACGATATCTATATCGAATATGCAAACCAGTATAACATTGACGAGGGAGAGTACCATCTCGATATTATTTATGACAGGAAAAATGCAACTGTTAAAATCAATAAAATAGAAGACCTTGGAGAAAACGTTTATATTTCTACAAAATATAACAACTTGGCATGGTATAGATTTATGAGGATGTTAAATCAGCCTGCAGCATATCCAGTACACCCAGACTTTTATGAAGTCGAAAACCCTAATGGAACATATGAAAATGTTTTCGACCAAGATGCTATTATTGTTCATGCTTCATTTTCTGGCGCCCAAAACTCTTTCTTATGCTTGGCAAATGACTTTTACGAAAAACCTACAAAGTTATACGAACCACCAAGTGGAAGTATTTCAGACTTTCAAGTATGGTTTACTACAGATGGAAAAAAAGAATAATTCCATTATACCATGCGTTTTACTTAGAACTTAGTTTCATATACAACTACTATCGAACGGTAAAAATATAATTTTTTAATACGGTTGAGGTGTTGGATTTGGTTGCCAACTTGACTGTGGTGCAGGTTCAGGCTGTTGTATAACAGGAGCTTGTTCTTCTGGTTCAGGGTCTTTAGGTATAATACCAACGAACTGACCTACTCTTTTACCAATATTTTTGACTCCGTTCCAAATTCCTCTTCCTACGGTTTTTATTCCATTCCATATACCTCTTCCAACATTTCGAAAGAAGTTTCCTATCTTACTGAAGAAACCCATTTTACTATATGTAAAAATCTAATGTCCGCCTAGTCTCTTACGTTTCCTGTTGAGTTCCATAGCATTCTTTAACTGGAGCTCATACATTCTGTTTCTCCTCTGGTAGAAAACATATTCTGGGTCAACTCCTGTGTTCGCGTCATCTGCATAAAGTTGTTTATATCCCACTTCAGGGTTTGTATAAAACTCTTTCCATCTCATATTTGCATACCATGGTGGCAAACCTAACGCAGCGTCATTTGACATGGCAGTTTGCATTTGTACATCTGTTGGCACTTGACCATAGTTTGCCATTGCAGTTTGTATTCTAACTTCATTTGGAATATTCTCTGGGTTTGGTTGTCCAGGTTGCTGTGCATTCGCTAAGTTCTGTGCGTCCATTTAATATTAGATAAAAATATCTCTTACGAGTACATATGCTGAACATTTGCAGGCATTGGTTCATCTTCATATTCTCTGTACTTTTCTGCCACGTCAAATAAATAAATGACACAATGGAAAAACCTAAAACAAGTAGTCCTATTTCAAACCACATTTACTTACTAATAAAATTTCTTTGTTATGACACTTTCTCCGGTTTATAGGACCTCTCTCATATTCTATCTTGTCATATCTAAACTCATAGTCATGTATGTCCTCTAACCATCTCATAACGGTTTCCAAACCACTTTTATCGGATGTAAAGTAAAAGCATGGATGGTTATGTAAAACGTCTAAAGTTTCTAAAGAGTCTCTCAAAGTCCAGTCTACTTGGTATTGAAAATCCCATGTGTTATAGAACGGCGGGTCCACTATAAAGAAAACATTTTCCTTGTCTTTATATTTTTCATACAACTCTGTCCAATGACATCTCACAAACTCTTACCCTCCAATATATTTTTCTATGTCCTCTTTGAAAACATTTGTATAGTTAAGATATAAAACTTTTGACATAAGTGTTTCAATGTCATGAACTCTTATAGAACCACTATATAATAGTCTAGCAGATATACTATCCCAGTCTATATATTCTGCTTTTTTCAAAACCTCTCTCACAATATTTTTCTTATCTAATGGTATACGTTCCATCTTACCTATAGGTATCTTTTCTTTTAACTCTTTCAATATATTGTTTGTGTCTGGAATATGTTTGAGACGGTCCATATAGTTGTCGAAGTCATTGCATATAATCTTTGAGTCTGGGAATATTGTATGGCACAAATGGGATATATAGAAACTTCCACCGAACAAATCTACAAATGTTAGACCATTCGGTAGTTTCTTAAGTTCTCTCAATATAATATCTTTACATTTACTCTTATTTCCAAAGAACGGTAACGGTGGTTTTGTAAAATTCATTTATATATAATAATAAAAATGTTTTTACCTGAAAAGTGATAGAAAAGTGACAAAGCATGAAAACATATATAATTTGTGAAAAGTGACACATTATATAATGTTTTCGACCCAGAAGACTAACAATTTTCCGAATAAAAACTTCATTTATACTAAACATCTTCGGGAAGCCCTCCGAATAAAAACTTCATTTATACTAAACATCTTCAGGGCTAGAGGGCACGAAGTGCCTGGAGGCCCCACTACCTTTTTTTTTTTTTTTTTTTATATTCATAGAAACCCAAATCATTCTCCGGTTCGAATAATTCATCTGTTGCTTTTTCTGTTTTTTCTATGAATTTTAATAATTTGATTAATAAGTCTTCATCAGGAAGAATTATTGCTGCATTTGTGATAAAATTCCATATTGAGGTAATATGGCAATAATTACATTTATAAAATGTAATTTTATCCAAAATTTTTTGGCAAATTCGCATAATAGCATTAATATTTGAAGCTGAGATTAAACCTATGATTACTTCTGTAACTTTTGGAAAATCATCGCAATTTAATATCTCTTTATATTGAATTGAGAAATAAAAAAAATCAAATGGATTCATTTCTTCAATTTCAAGGAGATTGTAAAAATTGATAGAAGTGTTATTGCAACAAATTGTATTTGCAGCAAAAAATATCATTTGCTCGATTCCATTTTTGGAATAAATTTGCTGGAACAATGTTAAATTAAAACAGTTGCTTAATTTTTCTTCATTGTTTTCATAAAAAAAGTAACAAGTTTGCAACTGAAATTTCAAAATTTTGATAATTGCCAGTTATTTCAGTAAATATATATATTTGCTTTTCTTCATCTAAAAATGGCAAATATTGATTTGCAATATTAACTAAAGTTTGGGATAAATTGTTCCAGTTTGATTTTACAATTTGTGAGCACATTATGTAATATGTAAATTTATCCGCTTTGTAGGAATTTAAAATTGTTTGTTGTTCTGTTTCAGTTAAATTACTGAATTTTTCAAGATTAATATTGTGATAAAAAATAGAATCCTTGAAACATTCTGATATCTTTTCAATGTTTAAAACGGATGCTAAAAAATGTAAAAGAACTTCATCAGTCACTGTGATTTTTTTGAAAAATTTATCCCAATTCAAGCATCCAATTGATCTTTCTGTCATTGTACTTATGCATTGATAAAGTTGATTTAATGAATCCGAAGAATAATCATTATGCTTGACTAGTTGAGTTAGTTGATACAGACTGTCGTCAGCCATTTTAAAAAAATGAATAAAATTGTATAGTACCCAGATTTTCCTTACTTTTACCACTCCCCATGTAATTTCTGGGGAAAACGATAATTCATTTTTTTATGGATGAATAGATCGTTTTCCTAGAAAGGACCTCATATCTCTGGCTAAAAAGAGTGTCAGATCCTAAATAGATTATTGATCTAGTGTACAAATCCAATAAAAAGCCTATTTTTTGGCTTTTTTGGTGCTCATTTTTTCGAAGATCTACATGAATATGGGGAAACCATCGGATTTTTTTGGTTAACCCACATCTTCATGTAGTCTGGACTATCTTTCCTCGAAGGACCTCTTTACGGGTGTAAAAACTCATAAAGTTCTCAAAAGATTCATTCTCGATCTCCATGCTGAAAGAATTTACAATAAAAAAGAGATCTACGCATCAAACTACAGCCATAAATGAACTGAACCCCTAAAGCTCAGCTCTTAGTTTATCAAAAACGTCGAAATCCTTCTCATTGCAATCAAATTTTCTCAATAACTCATAAGAAAAATCGAATTTTGATTAAGCCGATGTTATAGGTATCACAAATACTACAAACTTGAGCAATATCGAAATTGCCAGCAAAAGTTTGAAATTGCATTGCTCATATTTGTTTTGTAAGCTAAAAATCTGCTTATATTATTCATTAATTTTTTATATATTATTCATATACTTTAATAAAAACAATACTATTTCACCTTAAAAATGAATTTCATAAGTCAATATTATTTTTTTGAAAATGTATCAATTTTCGATTAAAACAACATGAGAATAAAATTTACGCAAAATTATTTTAAAAAATGGTTTTAAAAATTTACAATTGATGAAGACTAAGATTGCAAGAAGTTTTGAAGTTTAATTTTAAGAAAAAAAATTCGGATATTATTCATGGATCTAAGTAATCTGATATTTGAGTATCGGCACTATGCATAAAACATATATTTATAGTTTTTTTGGAGTTTTATGATTTTAAATATATTCAAATTTGGCTATAGATCTGCAATTTTCCCAAATGAACGGGGTGGATAAGATCCCAGCCCTATCGTCATCCCAGTGTCAATTTTACAAAAAAATTCTTAATAAAAAATTTTTATTAAAAAATTCTTATCTTTTTTCATTGAAATTTAAATAATAAAATAAATTTGGCTGTAAAAACCATCAATTATTATAATTCTTATCGAAACACATGTAGAAAAACACTTATCTTTTATACTCTTTCTATTTGAAACCTGTTTAGTTCAGTAATTAATAATAAAAATTGTGAAAATAGTGACTATTTAACTAAAAATATATTAAATGATGTAATAATGAGATATACATATATTTTTACGAATTATAATTAGAAATTATTCTGGTCTGGGAATCCCAACCCAAAATCATTGAAAATTTGAATATATGGGATGGGCTACCCATCCCAAAACTATATTGAAATTTTTGAATTGATAATAAATGTATCTATATCTAAGGTATATTAGAGAATTTTTAAAAATTATGCATTAAAAAATTGAATTTATTCAAAACAAATTGAGAATAAAAATGCTTAAGTAATCACTTCATTATTTCAACAATGATTGATGCAGTACCGACGTACTATAAAGACATTGAGGTCGGTACTAAGCATCAGTATCTTAGATATAAAAAACCAGGCGACAAGTACGGAAAATATTATGTTAAATGCAATGAACTAGTAAAGCGTCCTGACGGAACTATATGCCACTGTGCAATGGAAGAAATGCGTGAGGATCATTTCAAAAAATGGATCCAAAACAAACGGCACATATGCACACCAGGAGAAGTAGCATCACAACAAACAATCGATCAATACTATCAAAACGTCCCAGCAACAGGGCTTACACCTATATCGTTAGGGGATATCTATGAACAGCTTGCTACATTTACTGGAAGATTTAACTTGGCTCTGAATACCTTCTCAAGCCCAGAGTTTACAAAGCTAGTTAAAACCATTATAATGTATACTGGCAGACTCGATGATATTGAAGTTCCCACAGTTACACCAATGTTAACATCAATGTTGATAAACTAGCTTCTCAAATATACCAGCCTATTTCAACTGACAAACTAAGGCAAACAATGATACAAATTGCAAATTCAATCCATGTTGCAAAAGTTGATGAGTTTGCTAAGCTTGCCTGTACCTGTGTTGCCATTGATGAGGGGAAGACTCAGCAGTTTCACAATCTGGACTTCTCCCTCACAAATCCTCTGCAAAGCAAGCGGCCCTATCCTGTTGAGTCAATCCAAATGAATGGTGGAACATCTGAAGATTATATCCACTCGCTTACTCAAGGATTTAACAGAATCTTCATTAGAGATGTTAAGATCAGCAGTGTAGTTTGCGATGGCAATAAAGCGCAATTGAAATGTTTTCAGAAAGGATGGAATCAATCGTTCTACAACTCAAATGACCCAAGGTTATTCAAAATCTTGTTTATCCCGTGTTTATGCCACAGGATTCATAATTGTTATCAATATATGACAACAAAAGACGTAGCATTAGGAGCAATTGTGAAACATATCCACGAAATATCAGCTCTTTGTAGAATCCATGTTGAAGACATCGGAGCTCTCTGTCCAAAGCATGTATCCACCAGGTGGATCTATGATTATAATATTTGTATGTTTATTATCAAGTATCAAGACAAAATTTCAAGATATACGCGTATTGATATTGAAAACATCAAGTTCTTAAGAGACTGCTTGGCAATTCTCAAGAAGCTTATTTCCACGTTCGAATCAGATAAAACCAAGATATCTGATTGCTACGTATGGCTTTGCAAGGGTATTGAAGCACTCCAATACCTTTCCAGCAGCAACAACAATCCTTTTGCTGGAATCCTTTCAAGATCGTTGTTGAACTATACCCTTGGATCGGACTTTGGAGGTCTTTGGTGCTTAGCCTTCGCTTTTACACCGAAAGGTAGGTATTATTTCAACCAAAAATTCGTCCACGGAGCGCAGATCAACGAATCTCCGGCAATTAATTCATTTGATATTACAAACGTAACTTTCGTTAATCCAGTAGAAGACATTCAATCTATCTATATGGACTCTATCTTTGAAGAAGGTTCGACTGAAGTTTCTCTTGATATGGTTGAGGAGGGATCAATTCGTCAGGTAACTGCTACAATTGACCCTCCTATGCTTGATCTCGCAGATGTAACATCTAGTTCAAATCAGCCGGTTAACCATTTTGTTGCAGCTAGGCAGTATCTCAAAAGTATTTTGGAACAATTTCGTATTCCGGGTCAAACAATAACAGATATTATTACACTATTTAACACGTATATTAATAGTGATAATGATATCTTCTCTGATGATATGATTCAAGAACGTCAAGAATACGGTTGGGAAGAAATCTCTCATAGAGATGGCAATGTATCAATCTTTGCAGATATCGCCCTTCGTGTTATCTCCGCTTCACCTTCAGAAGCAACATGTGAGAGAACAATAAAAGACCAAAGATTGATACTAAATTTGAAAAGATTACGTTCTCACAAAATTTTATTAGATAGCCGAGAAATTTTAATGGCTACAAAATAAATATCTATATTTATTATTAAAAATTGTTTTATATTTTATCTGTTCAATATTTTTCTCATATAAAAATTTGAAATACTTAATCAAAATTTCTATGTGTTTGTTTGAAAGAGATCGATAGCAATTCATATATCTTTTGAATTTGCTAATTGTGGTGATGGTACTATTATTATTGATTTTTTATTTTTATTTTTTTTTTTATTTTTTTATTTTTTTATTTTTTTTTTTTGATAATATACTATTTAGATTTATACATTCATTCAATATTATGAAATAAATATTTCTAAATTGATCTGATTAATTTTTCATTAAAGTTTATATTATCACCAAATAAATTTTTGAACCCTTAGAGTCATAGTTCAATGGTAAGAGTCATAGTATAATCGTAAAGTCCATTGGTTCGAATCAAGGGGATTTTCACACTTTTTTCTTTTTTAAAATTTCAGAGGTTTATTTTTAAGGTTCTCGCTGGCGACCCCCCGTTCGTCGAAAAAAAATTTGATTTTTGCTGGCGACCCCCCAATCACCAATTTTTTTCGACGAACGTGGGGGGTCGCCAGCGAGAACCTTAAAAAAAACAGAATCCCAAAAAAGGTGACATTTTGGGTGTATCATCTATCCCAGTGATAGAAAAATGACTTCACCTTGGATCTATAATTTGGCAATCCAATAGATTTTTAAAAAATAGGTAAATAAAAATAGATTACATATGCAGCAGATTTAGAACATGAAACAAATTTTATAGTGACCCAAAAAAAATTCATGATCCAAAAAAGAAAAAAATTGGCTAAATGGGAATCAAATCTTGGCATAATAAATCATTATGTCGGATGTTTCCACTACACTACACCGGCAGTTCGAAAAATACCCTTGGTGGTTCTATTTAATAGCTACTCCCAACGATAGGCGGTGTCCCCAGCTTTAGAGAGGTGGTAAAAGTAAGGAAAATCTGGGTAAATTATATTTGTGAAATTTGTGACGCTACATTCAATCTAAGACCAATATCTCAAAGAATTCCTCATTTAAGTATTACTTTTCATTGTTTTTTAAAAAATATCTTTGCTTATTTGTTCACTTTTTTGACATTTATTATATGCTTTTTATCATATTTCCGATGATATGAATATATATTCTATATAAGAATGACGCTACATTCAATCTAAGACCAATATCTCAAAGAATTCCTCATTTAAGTATAGGGTGTCCAAAGGTGCGTTTAGCACAGCGCTCTATATGAGACTATTAAAGGAGATATATGCTGATTATAAATATATAATAAAAAATATGAATATATGTATATGATGAGTATGTTGTATTTTGGCGCCATGCCGGTATATAAAATGAATTTTGAGACAAGAGGCGGTTTCGCGGGAAATTTTGGCAGGATTTTTTTCATTTTTTTAATGAATCATAAAGAAAACATCCTCGCTCTTGCAAAAAAATGCAAAGACTGTAAAAAATCTACGAGACATTGGTAAAATGCTTCGGTATGGATGCTCCTAGCTATTCCACTGTAACGTATCATGTTAGGATGTATCACTTCATGAACAAAAAGGCGCCCATCATAAAAATTGACAAAAAATCGCCGGATCAAAGAAAAATCAAAGCAATTCTTCAAGCGCTAGATGAAGACCCAAGAGCATCACTCAGAAGGATAGAGGAGATGACAAAGATACCACGTACAACAGTCAGTTATTATCTGCACAATTATTTGAACTACAAACTAGCGTATACACGTTGGGTTCCGCACAACCTTAATTCAGTTCAAAAAAAATCTAGAGTCCAATCTTCGAAAGAGCTCCTCTCTATATTGGGTGCGTATCAATCCAAGAAGTTTCGCTTTTTAGTAACAGGGGACGAGTCTTGGTTTCAATATGCAACAGAAGCCAAAATCATGTGGATCCCGAAGGATGAAAATCCGCAAACATTCCCGAAGAAAAAAATTGACACACCAATGATGATGTTGTCGGTTTTTTTGGGTGTGAATGGCATCATCGCAATTGATATTCTTCAAAAACCTAATACGATGAATGCTCAGTATCTAATTGACAATGTTCTTACTCAAATTATCAATTCTGATGAGTTTGAGAAATCCAAACAACAAAAACAAAAGTTTGCAATTCATTTTGATAATTCAAGAGTTCACAAAAGTCATAAGGTAATGAATTACTTGGTGGAAAACAATGTCAAAGTTGTTCCAAACCCAATTTATTCACCTGATATTGCACCCTCTGACTTTTATTTATTCGGCACGCTAAAAAAGAGAGCTGAAGGACGCGAATTCGCGAGTCCAGATGATCTTGAAAATTTTGTAAGAGAGCAATTTGAGCAATTTTCTCATGATGATTTAAAGCGTGTCTTTCAAGCCTGGATCGATCGCTGCGAACGCGTGATTGAATCCAATGGTGATTATATTTAAATAAACTTTATATATATGTAACTTGTTTATTTCTATTCGCAGTATTCAGGTTTGTGCTAAACACACCTTTGGACACCCTATATTACTTTTCATTTTTGATTCAATTTTCGAACGGTTTTCGTAAATTTTGCATCATTTCATTTTTTAATTGGAAAATCATCTATATTTAATCAAAAAAGAGCAAACTTTACAGACGAAAATAAAATATTTATCAGGGACAATCTGATAAATACCAAAAATCAACATCGAGAGATGAAAAAACGAATATAATCAAACAAGTTCTTCAATATTTTAATATTAAATACGCCGAAAATGAATCTAAAGCTGTCAGAAGATATTTTAGTTATATTGCAGTTAAAAATATTCCCGCAGTTACTGGAAAATATCCTGATACAATTGTTCGCAAAGATATGCTTTATTCGCATGATCATACAAATATTATTAATTCAAATAATATTGAACGTTACTACCGTTGCATCGCTCATTCTTGTCAAGCACGTTATTTAGTTAAAATTGAGAACAGTTCAGTTTCCGAAGATTTACAAAAGGAACATATATCCGAATGCAGACAATTTAAAAAGTTACAAAATGAAAAAAATGATCTTCATAAATCAATGACTCTGACAGAAATATACAATAAGGCAATGGCAAAATTTTCTGAAGACAACGGCACTTTTCAGCAGATTAAAAATTTATGACAGAACTTGCTGTTGGTACTGATGAAAACCCATTAATTAAAGATTCATTGGTCAGGGAAGTTTATAATAAGTCCAGAAAATTTTCTGTTGGAGAAAAAATTACAGACGATGAAATTGCTAATTTTTGTTTAATAAATGGCGAGCAGTTTTTCATTGGCCATGATTTTCAAGCAAATTGTGAGACGATGTTTTTTGGTTTTGAGAAGGCAATTCAATTTGCAAAAGAAGCCACAGATTTATTTTGCGATGGAACTTTTAAAATTACACCAAAACATTTTCAAAAAGGACAGATGTTAACAATTATGATTTGTGAACCTTCAACAAATCAATATCTACCACTTTTATTTATATTCATGAAAAACCGCACATTTGAATCTTATAAGAAGGCATTTGAATATATTTTTACTGTCAAGGGTATTCAATTTTCAAAGCTAATTCAAATTCATTGTGATTTTGAAAAGGGAATGATAGAGGCACTTCAACAAATTTTCCCTAAAGTCCGTATAATTGGATGCCTATTTCATTTCAAACAAGCTTTACACAGGAAACTTGTAGCACTTTATACAAAAAATTTCAATACTTTACAAAATTCTTTATTTAAGCTATATTCTATTACTCCATTCATGTCTCATGAAGAATTTGTACTTACAATGCATATAATTAATCAAAATAAAGTTGATTCGATCAAAGATTATATTGATTATTTCAACAAAGTTTGGTTGCCGCACTACAATTAATATCTCAATATAATAATGCAACTGCAATATTCACTAATGATTGCCTCGAGAGTATGCATTCAGAATTTTCTTCGTTAAAACATCCAAACATTTATGAAGCTATTAAGAAGATATCTCAAATCCAATTAGATAAATATAACGCCATCAAAAATAACCAGAAGATCGAGCGCCATATAAAAACCGTTATCACTGATAGCTACAAAAATTATATTCTTGACTGCTTTCAAAAAGAACTTGAGAAAACAATTTTTTCTATCAAACAATACAACGTAAGTGATCTTTCTTTGGCTCAGAACGAGATTTCTCCATATGGTTCCATAGAATCGAGTTCATTGTTCGAAAATATTCCAGTTCATGATGCAGATATACTCAAATCGATCGATCTAACAGATAAAGATACAATGATCACTAAGTTTATTAATGAAAAAAGAGAAAAAATTATGGCATTATTTAATGAAACATTAGTTAGTATACATATCATCAGTACGGTGGCACTGCGTTCCACCATACTCATGATATGTCAATCTGACACTTTACAAAACCACTAATGTATATTTTACATCACAGATGCAATATTTCTAATAACCTTAAACTATTTCTGTCACGTAAAGTATTTATCACATAAACCACCTCATCTCACCTCTCTGTACGTTATATATTGTGTGCAGGTCATTGCCCATGGCAACTCCCCGCGACACAATGCACGTGCATGAAAAAATAAACGTTCTCACTAACGTTCACACTAACGTTCTCACTAACGTACACACTAACGTTCTCACTAACGACTTCACTAACGTTCTCACTAACGACTTCACTAACGTTCTCACTAACGTACACACTAACGTTCTCATTTACAAAAGTATTGCAACTCTTTCCATTGCTGTGCTTCACATAATAGTTCATATTCTTCAGTATCACTACTGTCGCTCCAATCGTCTGAGTCAAAGTCGCTGTCAAAATAAATGTTAGTAAGTTTTGACAAAGCTAATGAAACACGTTTACCGTTTGTATCTATTGCTTGTATAAACTTTCCATTCTTCATT